ACTCCGGCCTCCTTCCCAAATGCAGAACATTCACTCACATCCTCTCGGCTCAGGTGGGAGCCTTGCTCCTCAGCCAACCTGCAGACCGTGCGACACGCTTCACGGTCCTTTGCCTCCTAGGACCTGCCCTCCTTGGAACATCTGCTCACACTTCACAAAGCTCCTCTCTAGGGAAGAAAATGGACACTTACATTGAACTAAACCTGAATAATAAGGCTTGACTGGTCCAAAGACTTTAGGGCAAGACCACTTCCTTGTTTTATAATTTTCAAAGGCCAGGCCTTGCACGCAGGGAGCAGAGTGAGAGGGGAGGGTCATGACAACGCGGATGAAGAGCCAGAGAAGACTCAGAAGGGGACACGCGCATTCTGTGAGCTCTCGGCGCTCTTCCTGTCCGAGCTCTCTACACCCTTCCCTTTGCTTGTATTAGCCCAAGTCCACTTCTGTTGCTTGCAACTCAATAACCCTAAATAAAGGGGGTAGGGAGGGGAAAGAGAATAAGGAGCAAAGAGCAGCAGAGAAAGTGGAGACAGTGGCCAGATCCTACGGCTGCTTCAAACTTTGAAAGATGCCAGTTCTAGTCTGCATATCCTTTAAAACGAATCTCCACCCCACCTCCATCATCTTCAATTAAAATGGTCCCTGTTCCTTGTAATTGATGTGGCAACTGCTTTTGTATTGGTCAGGACTCTTCTGATGGCAAGTGACAGTAAGATAACTGATCAGTTGGAGCAACAAGTCCAGGGGCCATGCTCTGGCTGGTTCAGAGGTCAAAGGCTGCTGTCTGCGCCTCCACCTTCAGCCCTGCTTTCCCGTTTGCTCGCCCCCCACTTCCCCTCCCAAGGTCACGGGTGACCCCTGGGAGCTTCAGGCTTATTTTGTACAAGCTCATCATCTCAGAAAAAGAATTTCTCTTTTCCAATAATTTCAACAAAAGTCCTGTGGCTGACGCTCCCTGGAAAGATCTGCATTGCTTTCAGTGAAGTATGATTAGAAAATTGTAATTGTTGGGGCTTGGTCGCATGCCTACCCTTGAACCAGGACCAGCCCACACAAACCACACAGGAAAGAATGGGAGAAAACTCTTCCTCCAAGGACATTAGAGAGTATGAGTTGCCATCTATAACTTTTCTTCAGTTCGTTTTGGGTAACCAAACACCCAAATAGTAGCCAGGCATCTAGCCACCCAGAGTGAAGACTACATTTCAAAGGACCTCGTGCCAGCTTTCTCACCAAGGGAACATAAGTGGCAGGAATGGGCGCATCTTCCAGGGAATGTCCTCACAGGATGTGCCATGTCTTCCTCTGTCCTCTCTTCCTTACTTTCGTCCAGGGTGTAGACATGATGGCTGGAGTGAATGAGTCATCTTGGACCATGTGGCCATGTAGGAGTGGAGGAGACACTCGGTGGGGCCTGGGTCCTTAATACTGTGGAGGCATCGGCCCTGAATCATCTCCACCTTCTTCCAGGTCATAGGAAAAGGAACGTATCTTATTTCCATGAGTGTCTTTGACAACCATACCACCCAACGTAATCCTCCCTGGTCCTGCGAAGGAAAATCATGGTGCTATTGTAAAAAGAGGGGTGAGAAGTAATGAGCAGGTGTGTCCTCCATCTCACGCTCTGAAAAACTCTACCTAAGCCACGGTCATGACCCTGGGTGGAAATTGGAAGAGGCAGAGCTGCCTGGCTCCGATGTATCTGAATACCCAAGAATTTTAGAATTTATAAATTCAAAAGTAAAAATAAGTTTAAAATGAAGACAAGTATCCTGCCGGTGTGGCTCAGTGGTTGAGCGTCGATCCTGCACCAAGAGGTCGCCAGCTCAATTCCCGGTCAGGGGACATGCCCAGGTTGTGGGCTTGATCCCTAGTGGGGGGCGTGCAGGAGGTGGCCGATCAATGTTCTCTCTCATCGATGTTTCTACCTCTCTCTCCCTCTCATTTCCCCTCTCTCTAAAATCAATAAAGGAAAAAAAAAAATGAAAATGGAACCAAGCACAGAATTATGAGAAGGAACTATATCCACGTTTTTCCCACTAAGAATGAAGGGCTTGTCAGAGTGGGCTAATCTACATTTAACCTTGTAACTTTAACAATGAAGGGAAAAACAGCAGGTTCAAAATGTGAAAGTGCATATTAGAACTCCTTTCAACATATTCGTTTTGACATTTCAATTAATAATTAGAGTGAAGAATTAAATTGTAATCAAATACAGAGATGATATGATGCCAGTAGAAGGGTCCAGGCCTGGAATAACAGAACTGTAGAACTACACAACATCAGAACCCAGAGAGATTTCTGAAGTTAATCATAACTCCCCATTGTACAGGTGAGAAAACCGAGGTCCAGAGAGGCCAAACAACTTGCCCAAGGTACACCTGGAATCAAAGGTGAAACTGTTGGGATTCAATCTTCCAGCTTTCTTTCTTTTTTTTTTTTTTCAATAAATGAAAGCTATATCACAATTCAAGATTCAAGTAGACGTTTTTTTTTTCTTTTTTTAACGAAAGCATTGAACTGATGAGACCAGATACAATTCAATCAAGTCAAACGTGTAAGGACCTACATGTTCGGTCCACAAGAGCCCTCTGTACAACCAGAGTGTGGAGCCGATGTGCCTTAATCAGCAGCACTTGTAAGAAGCACTCAGCCATGTGACCTGGCTGCAAGCTCGAGGTGTCAGCAGTGTGATGCGGCTACAAGAAAGAGATAATGCAGTCATAGGTGGCATCACTCAAAACAGTTCACAGAAGACAGGTGTGAGTCCTGCAGAATCTGTCACTCCATACCTGTGATTCCTCCTTCAGTCCGGTGTCAGATTTTAAAAATGATCAACATGAATTAGTTCAGCTCTAGGGTGGAATCACATGAAGAATGGTCAAAAGAAGTTAGGGGACTGCAAAGCACTATAATACAGAACTTGAATCCTGGAGTCAGACTGCCTGGGTTTAATCCCAGCTCGTCAATTACTGAGGGTATGTTCATTAAGCCTTAATCTCACTGTCTGCAAATGAGGAATTATAACAGGACCTCTCTCCCTCTGGAGAGAAAGGAGGTAGCCCATGTCACGTGATTTGCACATTGCTGGCTCAAAACAAGTACTCCATAAATGTTAGCTTCTATTATTAAGGAAGCAAAGGAATGTGGGGATAATGGTAACAACCTAATAGGTTGTGGAGAATATTAAATGAGTTAACACATGAGTGCTTGAAACAAACTTGGTAGTTACATTTACCTGCAATAGAGGGACTGGCCTAAAGTATCCATGGATGGGCCTGGTTTAGGGGACAAAATATACCCTGGCTTGGGCTAAGGTCCACAGAGTCTCATCAGTTATTCCCTGAAGAAGGATGCTCTGTTGTGTGTGTGTGTGTGTGTGTGTGTGTGTGTGTGTTGAGGAGGAGGATGAGGGAGAGATGGTGGTCACTAAGACATTCTATGGGGGGTACTCACTTGGTGACCACCTGGGACTGGTGACTTGGCATCGTCACGGACTGACAACTGAGCCCCTTTCTGGGCCATGGTCATTTAGGCCTGTTCTAAAGACCACTAAATACTCTGATCACTCAGGATACTAAATGGGTTGGTCACTGAAGGTTGCTCTGGTCACGGTCACTGAGAATTGTCCTGTGGGCAGTCACTTAAGGATCATTCGAAGCGGAGATGCCCCTTAGTCCTCCAGGCCCTCTCTTTCCTCCTCCCTGCGGCACTGTATGAAGTCCGCAAAGTCCTGGATCTGAGAGACCTGATGGGACCCAGAAGACTCCCCCGCGAGCAGTCCGCCGCTAGGGGGCGACCGCTAAGAGAGAACCCGCCGGCGCGGAGTCCGCTCCTTTGGGGTTCGCGCTCTCTCGGGCCGTGGGAGGTGGAGTGACAGCGGGTGGGGGCGCACGCTCCATGGGTGTGAGACAGAGGGAGCCGCCTGGGTGTGAGTCAGCGCGTGGGGGGCGGGGGTGGGCTAAGGAGCTCCTTGAACAGTCACGGAGTCTCACTCGTACTCGGCTCCTCCACGCATCCCGTCTAGAGCGCGTGTCGCCGTCTCGCGCGCGTGTCCCAGTCCGGCGCATGTATGCGCAAACGGCACGAGGTCCGATTCCAGGCTCTGGGTCTCTGGTGAGACTGGAGGAGGGAGGCGGAAGGGAGCGTCCTGTCGGTGTTTCTATGCCTAGGTTAGGAGATTGCTCCGTCCTCACTCCACGTGGGTGTGTCCTGGTCAGGGTGCGTGTGCATCTGTGTATGTGCGTGCGTGTGTCAGCGCGGTGGGACCGTTTATTAGTGCAGAGTGCTTGCGTCTGCGCCCGATCAATGTCTGGGTCCGGATGCTGGCGCAATCTCGACCCGGGCGCCCACCCCTCGGTGTCGGAGGCCAGCGTGTGGGGGTGTCCAGCCCCTGGAGGAGTAAATGCCTCCACGCCATCCCCTCCCCGCCCAAGCTGGCCAGGGCTCCCTAGGGCGCGGCCTGCGTGAGGGGCCTGGGGTGTGTGTCCTGGAGGGGATAAGCGGATGGGGGGCGGGCCAGGTCCCCGGGCGGGGCGCGGGCTCCGGGGACCCGCGCGGCTGACGTCAGGCGACTCCTTAAATAGAGCCGGCAGCGCGCTCGGCTCGGCATTTCCCGAGGAGCCGGAACCGGGCCCACGCCAGCGCCACCGTGCGGCCCGCCGCCAGCCCACACCGCCGCACGGCCGCCGGGCTGGGATGGGGCTTCGGGCGCCGGGTGCGCTCCGAACCCTTCGCGTTCAAGGGCCAGGAAGCGCCGGGGCCCGCCCCACCGCGAGGAGCCCCGTCCCCTAGGACGGCGAGATGGTGGAGGCGTTGCTGCCAGTCCCCCGAAGAACCGCCACCCCCTGGCCCCCCGGGCATGGTGCGCGCCCCGGCCGGCAGCGCCTGGAAAAGACGGCGCCCCCCACGGCTGACCCGCGTGGCCCCGGCAGCGCCGCTCGAGCCCTCTAGGCGGCCGCAGGGCCCCAGGAGCTCCGCCGCCCGCGCCCCCTCGGAAACCATGCCCCCCGGCGCGGGCCCATGGAGCCATGGCCTATAGGGTCCTGGGCCGCGCGGGGCCACCTCAGCCGCGGAGGGCGCGCAGGCTGCTCTTCGCCTTCACGCTCTCGCTGTCCTGCACTTACCTGTGCTACAGCCTCCTGTGCTGCTGCGACGACCTCGGCCGCAGCCGCCTGCTCCGCGCGCCCCGCTGCCTCCGCGGCCCCGGCGCGGGCGGCCAGAAACTTCTGCCCAAGTCCCGCCCCTGCGACCCCCCGGGGCCCACGCCCAGCGCGCCCGCCGCCCTGGCGCCCGCCCCGCGCCTCCCGGCTGCCAACCTCTCGGGCTCCCCGCGGCTGGGCACCAAGCGGCTGCCCCAGGCCCTCATCGTGGGCGTGAAGAAGGGGGGCACGCGCGCCGTGCTGGAGTTTATCCGCGTGCACCCGGACGTGCGGGCCCTGGGTACGGAGCCCCACTTCTTCGACAGGAACTACGGGCGCGGGCTGGACTGGTACAGGTAAGGGGGCCGCGCCGCGCCTGGTTCCCAGCCGGCAAGTTCTGGAGCCACACCTGCGTTTTCTCTTCCCTCAAGCCGGCTCGTCGTGTGCGTTCAGGCTGGCACTTGGGGGGGGGGAGGGAGCTAGCAGATGGATTCACCCAGAACTTCCGTTTCTTCTCTGGACACGCGGTTTCTTGACCCGCAAAGGGCTGTTGTCACTGGAGTCGCCTGGAGGGAAGGGGGGCTCTAGCCACACTCAGGGATAGTCGGAGGGCTGACTCGGTGTCCTGCCTTTGGGATGGAGCGAGGTGCCCAGGGAAGGGGCAAGAAGGACACGTGCTGCCTTTCACAGCCCTGCCCTGACACTCCGCGGGTCTTTCCTGGCATCTGAAGGACCCTGAGAAGGGTGGGAAGTTAGAACAGGACGCCCCTTTGCAACAGGGCTCTGTGCTTGGGCGACGTCCCCATAGTTCAGGCCGAAGGAGAGGCCTCCCTGGAGGTGTCAGGACAGGAAAGCTCCCTTCTGCATGTTCATTTCCAGCTCCAGGTTTCTGCTGCTGTTGCTGGACTGAGACCCCAGTTCCTCTGACCCTGACTTTGGTCTTAGAGTCGTGAAAGGAAGCCTGGATTTGAACTTGGCTCTGTCACTTAGCTTGAGCAAATTCATAAAACTCTGAGCCCATGTTTTCTCATCCATCGCCCTGGGCAGGGAAGCAGCCCCTGCCCTGTCTGCCTCCCTAGAGCTTTCTAAAGTGCTTTCAAAGTGCAACACCGGGTGATGCTTCAGATCAGCTGCCTGGATGGGGACTTTGGGATACTGGGGAACACTCAGATGAAGATGGCCAGGGTTGTAGGGGCAACCAGTCATATGTGGGCTGTCCACTCCTCCACTGCACTGCTGAGCATGATAGTTTCCCAGGCTGGTGGTGTCTGGGGATAGCCTGAAGCTTTGGGAGGTGGCCGCCTCCACTGCTCAGTATCTGTGTACCTCCCAAGCCCTGTATAGTGCCGGGGCGCAGGCCTGGCGCATGTGTTGGCTGATCAGGGCATCCTGGGGTTGTTGTAATGTATGGGCTCCCTATAACACATGGCCTGACCCTGGGAAGACTTTCTAGAAATGTCTGCATAGAAATGGAACTGGGGAGGGTGACATGGTAGCTGGACAATAGCTGAGGCTAATTTTTTAAATTTTTATAAAAGTAAACTCTTTAGGAAGTAGTAAGTTCTAAATATATTGGGCAAAGAACACCTGTATTAGAAGGACCCCACTGGGTTCATAATAGGGGGCCCTGGATTTGCTAGAAGGGGGGCAATAGGGCCAATGTATCACCTTTGCCAGTCTGCCTCCCGTGGTCATGTCCCATGTACTGCCCTCGGGAGGCAGCCAGGCACCATTACGTTGGCTCAGTGGAGTGGAGTGCCCCAGAATGGCAGGTCTGGTGTCCAGGCTGTGACTCACAGATATCCCATCTGGGCGTATGAGGAGAGCAAAGACAGAGTCGGAGCCAGACTGCAGGCCGGGGAGGCCAGTGCATGGACAGCAGAGCCCTGAGTGGGTCAGTCGTGGTCACACATGCACAGCAGGGTTTCCTCGAGGGGAAGGCTGGAGATCATGATGAAATCCTTTGCCAACGTGAAGTGCTTTTTCAGTGCAAAATAATAAAATTCTAGGCATCTGGTTGCTAGATATTGTGCCCCCCAATAACACCTATAGCCTGCGCAATCTCTGCGTGCCCCTCTCCACCACCAGCACCACACCTCAGGCTTCCTTCCCGGAGCCTGTGTCATTCAGGGATGGCTGCTTTTTATTTTTAACCTTGGCATGTGTGAGTCTAAGCCAGCTTAGCTGTGAACCTCAGCGATGGGAGCCGTGCCTCTTTTTTTTTTTTTTTTATAGCACATTTGGATTCTGCTAAAATTCTCAGCTGAATCTTGGTAGGTTTTATTTAACATCACGCACACTGACAGCTCCACGTCTCATGGTCTGACTTACCCTCCCTTCCCCTTCATGTTTCTAAAAGAACAATTAGCTCAGGGGTCTGGTTATGAATTGCCATCTATGCTGAGGTAGTACTGCCCCATTTGGACTGTGTTTCCATAATTCCCAGAATGTTTCTCTGTGTGTGTTTTATCCTTGATTATCACTCAAATAATATGCATTAGTTGCAGAAATGGTGGAGACGTTCTCACTTTATTCCTGAATTCCCCAAGTTGAGTGGCGGGTGATATGATGCTCCGCCCTGCCTGCCACCCCTACTGTTTCACTGATGGGAAACTAGAACCTCAGAAGGAGAGCGCCTGTGAAATGGGGTCACAAGGCAAGTTGATGGAGGTTAGGACCGGAGGTCGTCGGCACACGAGTGTGCATGCGTTCCCATCCAAGCACTCTGACCACGGCTCTGCACAGCTTGCACCAGAAAGCTGGTGTCCACTGGGCAGACTGGGCCAGGGCGCCTCTGTGCCCACCATGGTGGTTGTGCTTTCCGGAAGCGGGGCTGCGGGGTTCCTGGCAGTGGCTCTCATGTGACTTGTCCCTGCTAAGCCCCTGGGGAGACCTTCCTGAGCCCAGAGGTTCAGATTGGATGGACAGTGGAAAAATTTCTTTCTGTGGGTGGACCGAGATAAAACACGAGGTGACAGTGTCTGAAGGCAGGGTGATACAGCTCAAGAAACACCATCAGCCAGAGAGACTGGGGGCAGAATCTGCACCTTCCTTGCTTCCAACCTGAGTCCCTTCTTGGGAACCAGCCCAGGCCAGGCCACCCAGCAAGAGCCCAGCCCTCTGCGTTGGGGCCCTCCCCTTAGGATTTTTCTGAGACTCCCTCACGGAAGCTGACCTCGCCCTCCCATCCTGCCTGGTTCCCTTCTTTCAGTTTCTCCCCACATCACGGCTGGGCCTGCAGGGTGGGGTCCGCTAGCTGCTTGGCCAGGTAGGCAAAGTGAGACCACGCTGACGAGGGGACTGGGATAGGACCTGCCAGGGAATGCGATGGCCCCTGGATGCTATGTGATGGGAGGCAGAGTGATCTTTCTGCAGCTCAGGTCCTTGCGTTAGAGCGTCTGCAGTGACTGTCATAGGAGACAGCGCCTGGAACTTCTGTGGTACATACAGCTCAGGCGGTACCTCACCAACGCTCCTTTGTCACCTGGGTGCTGTTAGTATCAAAACGGCCTTTCTGCTCTGGCTGCTGTCACCGGATGGGGCTGAGGAGTTCAGTGATTGCTGGAAAAGTAGCTCCATGAGAGGGGGAGGAGCTGGCCTCAGATTCTCCTTTCAGTTCTGCTTCAATTGCATTGTCATTTCTGCTCCCTCCCCATTGATAAAAAGTCACTTCACATGTCTGGGGCCAGTTTGCTCACCTTTAAAATGGGGGCGATGCCTGACCTGCCGTCCGCCTTGTGAAAATCAGCAGGACGGCATGTGAGGATGCCCCCCGTCTGAGACTGTTTAGGGTGCTGGCGTTCACAAGGGCTGGGACCCAGACGACTGCTTGGGGTCTTCCATAACGAGGTACAAGCTGTGCCTTGTCAGTGGTGTTGGGAGTCCTGGGGAAGCTGAGTTTCGTGGGAAGTGTTCTTCACTTTGCTGGTTTTCGGCGATGGGTGGGGAGCATCGTGAAGAGGACGTGAACCTTCTCTAACACACTGACGTGCCAGCAGGAGCAGGTTAGTAGTGACGATTGACTCCGTGCTCCCGCGTCAGCCTTTTGGTGGATGAGCTGGTTGTGTACATTTTAGGCTCCAATCCACTGCTAATTTATTCGTTCAGGGTGGATGGTGTAAGACAAAGAAGACAAAGTCTTTGTCCCAGAGGCAACCATCTAAATAAGAGAATAAAAACATGGAATAAGGTTCATCACTTGATCCAGCTCATTTCAGTCAAGAAATTAATCTTTAGGACAAACTTTAGGAAGAAGTGAAACCAAAGGCAGAGGCGAGGGAAACAGTTAATGCAGAAGACTTGAAGCATATGTAATGAAGTGGTCAAAACACGACACACACTGATCCAGGCCTGTCGAGTGTGCACAGATGCCTGCATGTGCACTCACACACAATCACGTGACACACTGATTCACACCTGCTGAGTGTGCACAGATGCCTGTGTGTGCACTCACAATCACACACACTGATCCAGGCCTGCCAAATGTGCACAGATGCCTGCGTCTGCACTCGCACACAAACACACACTGATCCATGCCTGCCGAGTGTGCACAGATGCCTGCGTGTGCACTCACACACATGCTCACGTGACACACACTGATCCACACCTGCTGAGTGTACACAGATGCCTGTGTGTGCACACGGATCCACACCTGCTGAGTGTGCACAGATGCCTGCGTGTGCACTCACACACATGCTCACGTGACACCCACTGATCCATGCCTGCTCAGTGTGCACAGATGCGTGTGTGTGTGTACTCGCACACTACCACACTGTTCATGCATATCCCTCTTCATAAGGAGTTTCCCAGCCTGGATCCAGGAGGACATCACATGCTGATTACATGAGACTATCGAGTCCACCAATCCCCTCGCCCGGCAGCTCTGTCACCCGAGCACACGGGGCTGAGTCCCCCCACACTTTCTGTCAGACACCGAACGTTTGCAACGGGCCAGCAGACTGTCTTTTTGAAGAGCTGGCTTTGCTCCCTGGAGCTTGGAGGGACAGCGGAAGAGCTTGCAGCCCAAAGCCCCTGGTTGAGGCTGCTGGGTTAAAATGTGAAACTGCTACTTACCATAGATTCTCATAAGCATACTTCCCCACATTTCAGCATCTCTGAAGTCAGGATGTTTCTGACCATGGATGGGGTTTCAGTTTCAGTGAGACAGCATCTTCCATATGGATGGAAACCCTGTCCCCAGAGGTGGCTTTTACCCTGGAGACCTCCCTGGCTCGGCGGGGAGCCCTGCGCCCTGCTCGTCTGTGCAGCCAGCAGGGTCTCTTCTGGTCCAGGGGCCGCACCATTTCCGGTGTTTGTCACCCATGCCATGTACTTGAAAGCGTATGTCCTGAAACGG